TTTTTTTTTTTTTTTTAACTTTTTGATTAACTTTTAGAAGATCGTTGGGGTGAAAAGAGATTAATGTAATAATATCGAAATACTCGGAATACTTTTTATTTTTCATGCGAAAATATTGGAATATTTTCGAGAAGATGGAAAGAGAGAGAGAGAGAGAGAAAAAAAAGATCGAATGGATCGATCTTTGTCCATGGTAGAATGATATACGTTTCCATTCGAAAGTCTTAGGATCTTAGAATACCTTATATTTCCATTTGAGATACCGAATGAAATGAAAAGAAATTGAGAGGATCTGTGTACAGTCCTGCTCAAAATTCTTCGGATACTTCCGATCGTTGAATATTCCCCCATTTTTTTTTTTTTAATGAAATTTTTATCATTACCAGCATTCCCTCGCAATGCTTTCCTCTACGTTTCTTAATTTTCTCCAAACACGATATAGCGTTGACCAAATATTTTCGAAAGAAAATTTTCGAACGTGAATGTAGAACAGTTCAAAGGATTGAGAATCCTAGAGAAGGATAAACACGGATAAAGGAACGATATATCCATCCGTGGAATTTCGAAATTTTCGAGATAGATCGGAAAATTGGAAGAGGGATTGAAAGGAAACAAAGAAAGAAGGAGGAAAGGAGTATGCAGATAGAGAAGCGGAGAATGTCGGAGATAGAAACGATAGAAGCGACGCAACAGGAAGCACACCCCCATGAATCACTCTTAGCGCGAATTGACAACAGACAAACGAAACAGTTTCGAAATCCCGTTGCGCCAGAATACCTCTTCCTTCGCCCAATTCACGCTCTCTTTGCACTCATCTCAATTCTCTAACTATATATATATTATATATATTATATATATATCTTCTATTCATATATACACTCGTCGATGGTTATCTTCTATTCTCATCGTTATCTCCCGTTCGGAATTTCTCATAGTTTGCAGCTTTATCAGGGAGAATATATCTCGAGCTGTTGTTCGTTTCTTTCAATTTCCACCAATTGCAAACAGAGACTTCGAGTTGTTGTTCGAATCAATGAAATGGATGACGCTTCTGCTCTCTTTCTTAAAATTACTTTTCTTTGATTTAAACGCTTCGAAATCAATTTCGTGAATTCCTTTTTATTAATATCCGATGAAATTTCACTCTTAATCTTCGCTTTCCATCAAATACTCTTCGATACATCAATAATACTTCCCGATATTCTTCGATATTATTTTCTTCTTAGACGTTCTCCACCCTCTTTCGATCTCTCTTCTCAAGAGTTTCACGATTACAATTAATCTCTCTCCATCGATTAATTAATTAAAAAAAATAAAAGAATCACCCTCTCTCTCTCTCTCTCTCTCTCTCTCCTCTCCCTTACAAATGAAAGAGACAGAAAAAAAAAATCTACCAGATCTACGTGCCTTTCCGGAGAGGGGGAGGAGGGGTCCTCTTTTTCCCATAAATTCTACTCCCCCTCCGCGTCACGGTTACTGTTTCGATCCCTTCCGTGTCCACGGGAGCTGTCGTCATAAATTTTCATCGGCTCGGCCAAA